CGACCGTTCACCTCCAGCTCCGAGATGCATCCGCCGGTGCTGCCGAGACCTTCGTATAATCCAGATGTACGAGTTTCCATCCGCCAAAGTCGAAGTCCGCCAAACACCCGACGACCGAGTACGACATCATCGAAGCTCCCAGGCGAAAGTCACGGTCAACGTCAAGAATTTCGAACGGAAAAGATTCGCCGAAGAGATGCCGACGAAATCCATGTTCTTCATGCTCGACGCGTGCAGGATCCGCCCGTTATCCAAGGACGACAATTTCAGATAGAAACTTACGTCGACGTCCGTCCTGTGGTCGTCGACAGAGTTTCCCAGTGGTCGCCTGAAAGCGACTCCCGTGTTCCGATTCAGTCTGAACGTCATGTCGTTGGGCATCGCTGTCGAACCGACTTACGGTGACCCGTCCGATGATACACTGTTTTTCAGGACTTCTTTTTCGGAGTTTGTCGTCTCTTCTTCTTTGGTTTTCGGTTCCTTCGCGTTCGATTCTTTCGTTGTCGAATCCTCCGTGATCTGTTTGGTAGTTGTCGATTCCTTCGTGGTCGATGCCAGCGTGGTCTGTTTTGTAGAAGTCGATTCCTTCGCGTTCGATTCCTTCGTTGTCGATTCCTTCGTTGTCGACTCCTTCGTGGTCAATGCCTTGGTTGTCGACTCCTTGGTTGTCGATGCCTTAGTTGTCGACTCCTTCGTGGTCGAAGCCTTTGTTGTAGGATCGGCAGTTGTCGATTCCTTCGTTGTCGACTCCATCGTCGTCGACTCCTTCGTTGTCGATGCCTTGGTTGTCGACTCCTTCGTTGTCGATGCCTTGGTTGTCGACTCCTTCGTTGTCGATGCCTCAGTAGTGGGTTCGGCCGTTGTCGTTTTCTTCGTCGTCGATTCCTTCGTCGTCGATTCCTTCGTGGTCGGTTCAACCTTGGACGTAGAATAGGTAGTATTCCTTCTTGGACAACGTCCTATCATTTCGCTGCTTCGAATCTCCCATTGGTTTAACGTAAGTCCTCTCAGACATCCGTTAACACCCGGCGAATTGTAACTAGCGCCCACCGTGTACACGTTTCCCACGTCGAGTATTGCGTCGTCCCCGATCAAGTTCGTTTGTGTTTCGAACGAATCGATCCTCATCAGGACGTGCAGATAGTACCTGCTTATGCCGTAAGAGCTCCACTCTCCTATCGCGGTGCGCTTCGGACTGGTGATTCGAAGCGGCGTGGACCCCGTTCGGAATAATGCCTGTCTCTTATACACATCTAGATGTGTATAAGAGACAGTCTCTGTGCTCCTCGTGATCGTGGCTCGACAAGACGCCTTCCGCGCGGACGTTGAATCTCCGATTCCTAAATTTATGGCCGTAAAAGTTTAACGTTGCCGTGTCTCCCACGTGCAGTAAGTTTTTCTCGATCACGACGTCTAGTTCGGTTTTCAACGCGTTGCACGGATGGCTCCTCGGAAGATCCGATTTTGTCGGAGAAGGTAAGTCGTAGCAATTTTCGGTCGCTCCTCCTGACAGAAAAGTTAGCCCTCCCTCGTAACAGGTGTCGGGGCGACCGAAGTTATCGGTCTTTCTGTCGAAGTAGTAGCAGGCGAGAGAGCCGTTTCTTCTCACCTGGACGGCGGGGTCGGGTATGC